TTCTAGATATGTGTAGAAATATGTAGAAGTGTGTGGAAGGTTTTAGAGTTCTCCAGAGTTGTGTAGAGTTGTATGGAGGGTTCTAGAATGTTGTAGATATTTATGGATAAGTATGGAAGTGTGAAGAAGGTGGGAGAAGATTCTAGAGAATCGATCTCCACCATCGGTTAAAATGCATCCTAGCCATCCATTGGGGATGGGGATGCCTATAAATAGAGGTAGGACTTCATTTTGTAGACAACAAGTCCTAGAGTGAGTCTTGAGAGCCTTGTAGAGAGTTTGAGTGCTAGCCTTGTACAAAATATTCTTTGAAGTAATAGAAGTGTTCTTTCCTTGCCAACTTAAGTGCCTTAGTGTGTGTGAGTGTGCAAGCTAAGTGAGGAGAGGGCGAGGGCCACTACAACACTAGTAAGCGCACGAGGGGAGTGTGTTGGCTAAGGTGTGCACGGGAGTTAGGCTGACCAAGTACTTGCGAGAGTAGAAGCAACGTCTTGGTGCCGCACGGGAGCAGCTAGAGTGGTGTTGAAACTCTAAGCCCGTGACATAAGGCCCAATAGAAAATATGAAAGTAGCATGACAACACATAAGGGTACAATGGTGAATTTTTTTATATTTTTCATTTAATGAAAGCAAGTATATACAAAATGCAAGAAAATCAAAGAATAAAATGCATGAACAAAATACAAAAAGAAAAATAAAGAAGGTAAAATACAATGAAAGAATATGTACAATGCAAGAAATTAAAAACAAAAAGTAAGAAAGGATGCAAGAACAAAATAAAGAAAAATGAAAATAAAAACTCTTTATTTTATTTTTTATTTTTTGACATAACAAGTACGTACACACACATAAAAATAAAACAAATAAACATGCAAGAAATGAAAATACAAGAAAATAAAGGATGCAAATTATTATTATTTTTTATGAATAGTGCTCGATCGAAGGGGTGTTCGATAGATCGAAAAGCTTGTAGAATGATGCCCTGAGAACAAAAATTTCTGACGCAATTCCGATCGATCAAAATTATTTTTGATCGATTGAGACCATTTTTGATCGATCGGAATAAGTGTTGATCAATCGAGAAAGTCTTCGATCGATCGAACTGGGCGCTGCCTGGGCACAAAATGCAGAATTTTGAAAATTTTTCAAAGGCATAAATTTTTCTAAGGCTATGCATGAATATGGTCTAAAAACCTGATTTTTGACAATGAAGTGCAATGGAACATATCTAGACGCCGCAAGAAGTGAAAAATAAAAAGAAATGGGAGAGGTATAGAGTTGAAAACTCTACGAACGCTAGTGTTTAACGTCTCTAGCAAGACGTTGGGTTGACTCACTAGTCGAACGAATCAAAAACCGGATATGAAACATCCTTATTGATCCTCTTTTTCATTTTCTCATTTAATGCCTCACTTACAACAATATACACATCCTCCAAAAGAATGACTTGAAAAGAAATTATGAAAGATGCAATTTACTTCTTTTGATCCACGGCCTTGAAAATAAAATCAATAATGAGCGGCCTTACACTTGGCAAAGCAAAGTCTTTCAAAAACTCAACTGGATTAATAGGAATTGCACTCTCTTCATCGCTTTTTTTTTTCTCAATAATCACCATCTCCTCACCTTCCAAGTTAGCTAAGGAGTCCATTAGAGTGTTCACTTCATTTTTGGAGCTTTCAAGGTCAAAACTACAATTTTTATACATTTTAAAAAGGCATGTCTCAAGAGGGTCTTTGGAGATAATAGAAGGAAGGACCTCTTCAACAAGTTCCTCCTCCTCCTCTCCTACCTCTATAGTGGTTAACATCTCCTCACTTTCTAAAGTATTAAAGGCCGAGATAAAATCATGATCAAAACAAGAAAGTCCTCATTAATCATGTTGTGCTTTATTGGATTAGCCATTGACTTACTTGCCACTTCTTCCTCTATACAAGATAGAGTGCTAGGCATTAGCTCACTTGTTTCATCCTCCTCTTCACTCTCATCATCCTCATCTATATAAATTGAAGTTCTTACCATTTTTTCATTTGCCTCTTCCTCCTCCTCTTGACGAGAAAGAGTACTTGCAATTTGCTCAACTTGAGTTTCAAGCATGGCTAAGATTTGAGAATGAGAATTAATATCTTGAGTTTGTGAATTAGGCCTATCAAGTAGAGTTAACACTTTTTCTTAAAACTCGGGTGAATAAGGTGATGGAGGTGGTTCTTCATAAAATGGTGGGGGAGGGTAATAGTCATAAGAAGGATTAAAAGAGTGATTAAGTCCATAATAAGATGATGCATGAAATGAATTGGATTCAATTTCATAAGGATTAAAATATGATAGAGGAGTATAAGGTGAAGGAATGTAATTTTCCCCTAAACTTGGATCAAACAATTCCTCCACTCACAATTAAAATCTAAATGCAAGAAAATATTGGCCTCCACACGGACCGATGCTTGGACATAAATTAATGCAATGAAATTATCCTCAACAAGGGTTATCACAAGCATGCAAAGAAGTGCACAATTAAAATACAAGAGTTCCAAGAATTTCTTACAAAGGTCCTTAAGCAATTTCAAATTTTAATGTTAGCTTTAAGCTTCAATGATTGCTTCAAGTTCCAAAGTTTGCCTTTCTTGTAGTCAAGTACCTAATTGAACAAATAATATCAAGAATGAGAAATGAATGTACAATAGAAAATAGAAGCAATCAAATGAACACTATTATCTAGTCTAATTCCAACAAAACCGTTAATCCCCGGCAACGGCGCTAAAATTTGACGAGCCCCTTTCTATGTAATAGAAAACTGACTTTTTAATGTGAAAGGTCGCTTTGCAAGGTCAAAATATGAATGTGGTTTCGGAAACCTTTAAAAGTCAAATTTACATTTATAAAAACCAACACTACTATAACTAATAAAGCTTAGCGAGTAGGGATCGTCCGCAGGGATTATACGTGTTGGAATTTAATTTCGACTCTAATGTACCAATTGATTGCAAAGAGAGATTGGTTGATTAAACTAAGATGCAAGGAAATTAAAATGCAATTAAAATAAACTAAGTTGAGTTAGGGATTTAAGAGATGAGAAGTGAGGTCTTGGGGTCCATTGGAATTGCCACTAAGCTTGTTCACCAAACCACACACTTTCAACTAATTTGGGGAAAACCTTCTTATGAATAAAATGCGACTACCAATTGCAATATTAAGCATGGACCATTAAATTTAAGTATGAATTGTCTACCTAACCGATAAATAAACTAAGTGTAGCACAACCCATCAATTCTAAGCATGACCCATCAAACTAGTCACAATTGTAGCACACATTAATCTAGAGAATCATGAAATTTGCAATAATAAGCCATGGAATATCAAATCAAGTATGGTTAGCCATCACTAAATCCTTAATTAATCACCTATAGACATGTAACCAACATAGAGAATCTAGTGTAGAGATCAATTCCTAAATAATCACACATAAGACAACATGTAATTAAAATAGAGAATCTGATGAGTGCTCAAATGTGATGCATTTTAGCACCTAAGCCAGGGTATTTTAGTCCATTCATCTACTTTATTTTTCCGTTTTAGTACTTATTTGTGTTTTTGTCTATTTCTGGTTAATAAGGTTCAAACAGGCTAAAAATGGTCTATTACAACCTTTTTGGAGTCAAATGAAAGTTCCTAGAAGATTTCAGAAAAATCTGAAAAGGTGTCAAAAATGTTGAAAATTTGGATGGATCGAAGATATTTTGGATTGATCGAAGTTTCGATAGATCGAAGATTTCTTCGATCGATCAAAAATGTGCTGGCAGCGAGCTGTTTTATTGCTGCGCGCCCGAACTCCACCTACCACATAGTTGCGGGATTATATATTTTTGGGGCTGTATTTCTGACTTAGTGACTAAGAAAGGACCTTTTATAAAGGGGGAATTGAACCATTTTGTAATCTATCTAATATCTTTTTGTCTTCAATATTATTTTCATTGTAATTTTATTTTTCTGTCTAGAAAAGTTAGAGATTAGGGTTAGAAGAAAAGAGAAGAGTGGAGGCACCAAGAACACATCTCAAGATCTATACACTCTTTCTCTCTAGAATTCAACAAAGAAGAAGAGGAAGAAGATAGAGCCATGTTTGGGGATTGCCCTTGAGGGTTCCAAGATCACACCCACCTCTTCCATGATTGGCTAGGCTTCTCCTTGGGGTTTGGATTTTTTTTTTCTTTCCTGAATGGGATATTTTTTAAATTTATAAAAAGAAGTACAATAGTACAATTACAAAAGGGAGGATAAACCTCTAAGAGAAACAGAAGAATGGACAACAAGTCCATCCACAGCAAAAAATAAAATCGAAATCCTAACTAGGAAAATCAGAAAGAAAACCAAAGCTTTCTTAAAATGAAAATAAAAGCAAAAGCCATCCTTGAGAAAGAAATTCTGAAAAACCAGACCATAGCAAAATGACTACAGTGAATTCCAGTAACCAATAATCTGGACCAGAGCAAACATCAGCAATTAAAAATTAGAATTAAGTCTTCTAGTCCCAGCTCGAGGTATGACAAAACCTCCAATACAATAACTTGTGTAACATGTGAAGCTTGATCTTGACTTCCTTTGTGCAAAGCTTCATTTCTAATTGCCCAAATTTTCCAAATGGCAGTTGAAAAATTGCACTCAACACTTGAGATTTAGTAGAATTCATGGTACTTTGCAACCTGAACCACTCCACAAATTGCAACACTGAATTACAACCTAGATAAACAATATTAGCAGAGAAAAATCTCATGCCAGACCTCAGTAGCGCAGGGGCAAGAACAGAAGAAGTGGTCATTTGAATCCACATTCTTTATATAATTGTGATAGATAGCAGCTAAGGTAATACCTCTTTTCTGCAAATTTACCAAGGATAAATTCTTGTTGTGTAAAATGATGCAAACCACCACAGTAACTCGGGGTCTGTAGTACTTCCAACATAAATCAGACCAGCTCACTTGAGTATTTGAATGTCTACACTTATCCTAAGCAGCTTTCAATGAGAAACCACCATCCTTCCACCCAATAATGTCTGAACCAGGAATGATTTTTAACCTTTGAATAACACTAAAAACTCTCTCAGGAAAATATACAGGCTTTTCCCATTTACCATTAACAATAAGCTCAGCCAATGAAGTCTGTCTGTCAATCTGTCTGAGCACAGTAGCCCCAAAACATTGGATTAAAGTTTGAGTATCACACCAAGGGTTAGTAAGTAACTTAAATTTCATCCCATCATCAATCTTAAACTCAATATTTTGTAAAATCAGTTGTCTTACCCCTAACAATTGTTTCCATATAGGAGAATCTGTAATTTTGGAACTACATTCCAAAAAAAAAACATTATGAAGGTACGTTGCATTCAGCCATTTGATCCAAAGTTTATCCTTCTTCTGAACAAAGTCCCAACATAAGGTCATTTTTGCAGCCACATCAATATCTTAAACTTTTCAAAGATTGAAACCACCTTCTGAGATTGGAAGAGTCACTTGGCTCCATTTAACTTGAGACATCTTTTTAACATCTTGTTTTCCACTCCACAAGAAGTTTTTTAATTTCCTTTCTAAACTAATCTTGACCTCCCAAGCGATTTTAAAACCAAAAACCCAATGATAAAGGTAAGAGTAAAGTACAGATCTCAATAATTCAATTCTACCTGCAATAGAAAGATTAATAGTATTCCAGTGACTAAGTCTCCCATTGATCTTATCTAAAAGCATGCTGAAACCCCCTGCTCTTAAATTATTATTTGATAAAGGCAACCCAAGATACTTGAAAGGAAAATTTTCTGTCTAAAACTTCAAGATATTCGAAATATTTCTTCTACCTCTCACTGACTTAGAGAAGATAACAGTGTTTTTCTCCTTATTTACTTGCAGATCAGTAGCCTTGGTAAATTGTTTGAACACTACATCAATAGCCTTAATAGTTGGAATATCTGTTTTAACCACCATTAATAAGTCATCAGCGTAGAAAGCATGAGAGATCTTTAAGTTTCCCTGTGATACAGCTTTTGAAACTTTAATTCTACCCTCTGCAATAGCATTCTCTATCAAATTACTAAAGAATTCTGTGACAAAAGAAAATAACAAAGGGGATAAAGGGCACCCTTGTCTAATGCCTCTCGAAGCAGAAAAGTAGCCGGCAGGAACTCCATTACACAAAATTGAAAATTTTGGAGAAGTGGTACAAACAGAAATCCATTTGATCCATTTATCAGAAAAACCATGCCAGCGTAACACTCTCTGAAGAAAGTCCCAATCAACAGAATCAAAAGCTTTTTGCAAATCAACCTTCAAAACAATGGTTAGATCACCATGTTTTTTACCAAACCCTTTGATTAAGTCTGAAACAAGGAGTATATTATCATGCAGCTTCCTACCTTTGATAAAAGCAACTTGCTCAGGACCAATGATATTAGGCAGGACACTGCTTAATCTATTTGCTAAAATCTTGGATATGATTTTATAAACAAGGTTACATAGGGCAATTGGTCTGTAATTGGCAATATTATCACCATGATTAGCCTTAGGAATAAGGGTAAGAAATGTTGAATTGATACCTTGAGGAAGGGTACTCTTAGTGACGAAATGACTGACAGCATTTATAACATCTTGACCAATAACTCTCCAAAAGTGTTGATAAAATCTTGCTGGAAAACCATCAAGGTCGGGAGCTTTGTCTGGATGAAAATGCATGACAACCCTCTTTATTTCCTCTTTTGAAATAGCACAATCCAAGCTTTGATTATCTTTTTCATTTAGAACCTTTTTAGGGGCCCTCAGCTCGACATCCACTTCTCCATGCTTCTTATACAAATCTTCATAAAACTGAACGAACCAGTCTTTGATAATTTTTGGATCAGAGGATGTATCACCAGTGACATTTTACAGTTGTGTAATGGCATTTGAACATTGCCGTTGTCTAACCACATTGTGGAAAAAAGCAGTGCACTTATCCCCCTCTTGCAGCCATTTGACCCGAGACTTTTGAGCCCAGTAGATTTCTTCAAGATCAAGAGCATTTTGCAATTTTCCAGTTAAAAATCTCTCTCTAGCTATACAGTCTGGAGTTTCAGGCCCTTGTAACAGTGACATTTTACAGTTGTGTAATGGCATTTGAACATTGCCGTTGTCTAACCACATTGTGGAAAAAAGCAGTGCACTTATCCCCCTCTTGCAGCCATTTGACCCGAGACTTTTGAGCCCAGTAGATTTCTTCAAGATCAAGAGCATTTTGCAATTTTCCAGTTAAAAATCTCTCTCTAGCTATACAGTCTGGAGTTTCAGGCCCTTGTAACAGCTCCATTTGAACTGAATGTAATTCTGCTCTTGCCACTTGAATGCTTTCAGAAACTGTACCTCTATCCTTATTCCATTCCTTTACGGCAGCTTTCACAGCTCTTAATTTTTTCTGAAGAATGTGCAAAGGGCTACCTGTAACTAGAATCTCCCATGTTTTGCCAATAATATTCTCCACTTTTTATTGTAAACACCAAATCTTGAGAAATTTAAAAGGTTTTGGACTGTTTGAGCAGTCAAAAAACTATTGAATTACAATACCACAGTGATCAGACAAGGAAGCAGGGGTAAGAGATACCTTGGAATCATTGAACTGTTGCAACCAAGCTGAATTCACAAGCACTCTGTCCAACTTAGCATTTATCCTTGAATTCTTATTTTGTTTGTTACTCTAAGACCACTCACCATTATTTATAGGAATATCTTCCATTCTAATATCATAAATCAAACTATTGAATTCATCAAGTCTAGATTGAGGGACTTGAAGACCTCCTTTCTTTTCATGACTGCATTTGATGATATTCCAGTCCCCTAAAGCAATCCAAGGACCTGAAGTAATTTCAACATGAAGCTTGAGAGTTTGCCATAATTCTCTTCTATCTTTAACTCTATTAGCAGCATAGACCCCAGTAATATATATACTTCTGCCAGAAATAATATGTTTTACTTTAACAAACATAGCTTGAGAAGTTTCTTGAATCAGATCCACATTAAATAAAGCTCTATTCCAACCAATCCAAATCTTTACCAAATAGCTAGACTTGTAGTTAACTAACCAACTCCATTGAGGGCATTTCTTATTCTGTATGTTGGGTGTTTTACCCTCTTTTACTCTTGTTTCCACAAGGACAGTAAACATAAATTTATTATCTAAAATCCACTATTTGACTTCCTTCTTCATGGGAGGCCTATTTAGACCTCTCACATTCTAAGCTCCTAACATCATTGAGAGTTAGGTAGTGAGGCACTACCAGCTTGCATTTTTCTTGTGATTCTGTCTGAGGGGGGTATCACAGGCTTATTTCTTTGTTTAGATTGCTTTCCCACTCTAGAACTCTCTTGTTCCTTTGGACTCACTTGGATAGACTTAGAGTACCCTTCACCAGAGTGTTTACCCAATTAAGATTTTGGAGCATCCGGAACCTGCGTATCCTCATCTATTGATAAATCTTCTATTATAACTGTATCTATCACATTATCAGTCCCAATAACATCTGTAACATTAGTTTTAACTTGCCCTACAAGATTCATAGGGTTTACCACATCCATCACCTCTACTAAATCCTCCACACCATTAGTATCTTCATTGTCCTCCAAAATAACAACCTCCTCGGGTTCAATTGTATATCCTTTTTCCACCACCTCCACTGGAGTGTCCACATCATTAGGAGTCTTAATCTCCTCCAGAAGAGCAGTAACCTCATCTTCTATCTACTTTTCTTTGTTCACCACCTCAACTGGAGTCTCCACAACATTAATACCCTCATTATCCTCCAAAAGAGCAAAAGAATTTGAAGTAGGCACTGCGACTTCTTTTTGAACCCTTCTCACAGGAAAATCAACAAGCACTTGGTCAACATCCTTATCTTCAATCATCTTCCCTTTATGCTTAATTACCCAGCAATCCACAACTTTCTTTGGTTTGGCCTTGTGTTGTGTGACCTTAAGGGGACATCTCTCTTCACTGTGATCAACTCATTGACACAGTTTACGCACTACAGGTTTTCATTCATACTCAAATGCGACGTGACAATTAATGCCATGAACATCTATAACCATGGAGTCTGGAAGAACTTCTTTGACTTCAACTTCCACCATTACCCTTACGAACTGACCTTTATCTCTGTGTGAATTTGGATCATCCATGTAGATTGGCTTTGCAAAGAAGGAGTAAACCTTTGGAACAAAATCTTCGTTCCGGCAATGCATCGGTAAGTCATAGATACGTAACCACATTGAAACTGTTTCTAGAATTTCTTTTTGCAATTTTACATTTTTGTTCCATCTTTTCATGATAATGGGTCATCCCTCAAACGTATGGATCCTAGACAGCACCTTAGGGACATCTGAATCATTCTTGAATAGAACCAGGAAAAACCCATCCTTTAAATACACCAACGTGAAGCCTTTCGACCAATATTTGGCCACAAAGGATTTGAAATATGGATAATAAGGCTTCTTACCCATCACGTAGCCAACCACAGAGGATTTCTGAAAAGTGACTTCTTTAACTACATCCGCTTCAGTAATAGAAACTTTAACCCCTCTGTATTCTTTGTGATATGTTAGATTCTTAAAAGTTGCATGAGTTTCATAAAAAAAGCTATTGTAAGTAGGTCTAGTAGGGGATGGATTCCGGCCTAGAGGACTTGCCGGCAATGAAGGGGAGGAGGACTGGCCCTCCTCCATGGTATCTCGGTCCCTTGAAACAGCAGGCCCTAATCGCACAATATCGCTAATATTGCATAGATTGATAGTGCTTCTTTATGATCAGTTGGGAAGAGACTTGTTTCGCGTCGTCATGCGGTGGATCTGAAGAGCCACATGCCACTCTGAGCTTCTACTTCTCTTGGGGTTTGGATCCCCCAAGCTTGTAAATTAAACCCTTTCTCTTGACTTTTTACGGAATTTATCTCGTGATTAGTGCTATAGCCTTGTGAATAAAATGAATCTTGGTATATTTCTATGATTTCTATGGTTTAATTCTTCCTATTAATTCTCCAATTTATTTATATGTCTATGTGTGATTAAATTAGGAATTATGTCTTACATGATTCATATGGTTTAATTCTTCCTATTGATTCTCTTTGTGATTACATGTTATCTTATGTGATTATTTGGGAATTGATATCTACACTAGTTTCTCTATGTTGGTTGCATGTCTATGTGTGATTAATTAAGAATCTAGTGATGGCTATGCATGGTATTCATTGAATGGATTTGTCAATTAATTTGATGGATTATTCTTATGCTTGATGGGCTGTTCTATAATTTAATTCATGCTTGTAGGTAGATAGACAATTTTTACTTGATTTGATATTCCATGACTTATTATTGCAAATTTTATGATTCTCTAGATTGATGTGTGCTATAATTGTGACTAGCTTGATGGGTCATACTTAGAATTGATGGGTTGTGCTACACTTAGTTTATTTGTCGGTTAGGTAGACGATTCATTCTTTAATTTGATGGTCCATTCTTAATATTGCAATTGGTAGTTGCATTTTGTTCACAAGAATGTTTTCCCCAAATTAGTTGAAAGTGTGTGGTTTTGTGAACGAGATTGGTGGGGATTCCAATACACCCCAAGACCCCACTTCTCATCTCTTAAATCCCTAACTCAACTTAGTTTATTTTATTTGCATTTTAATTAATTGAATTTTAGTCTAATCAAACAATCAATCTCTCCTTTGCAATCTTGTGATCCACTAGAGTCGAAGTTAAATTTCAACACGTATAATCCCTTGGGACGATCCCTACTCACTACTGCTACGTTAGTAGTAGTGGTGGTAGTAGATTTTATAAATTTAAACTTGACCTAAAAGGCTTTTATTGAACTGCACATTCACTACATTATTTTGGCATATACAAGTGGTCTCGTCAGAATCAATAGAAAGAATTAATCAATAGAAATCAAAAGAGAACCCAAGATTCATTTTATACACAAGGCTAAAACATTAATCACAAGATAAATTTCTCAAAATGTATGAAAGAAATAGAGGTTTAGATTACAAACTTGGGGCTCATCCAAGCCCCAAGGAGATGTCTAGCCAATCATGGAGGAGGTGGGTGTGATCTTGGAACCCTGAAGGGCAATCCCCAAACATGGCTCCATCTTCTTCCTCTTCTTATTTGTTAAATTCTAGGGAGAGTATATAAATCTTGAGATATGTTCTTGGTGCCTCCACACTTCTCTTTTCTTCTAACCCTAATCTCTAACTTTTCTAGAGAGAGAAAATAAAATTACAATGAAATAAATTGAAGACAAAAGATAGATTACAAAATGGTTCAATTTCCTTCAAATACAGGGTCCTTGGAGTAGTGAACAAGTCAGAAAATAAACCCTTAAAATATCTAATCCCGCAGCTTAATGCTTGACTCCAAAAAAGTTATAATTAACCAATTTTAGCCCGTTTGAACCTTATTGACCTAAAATAGAGAAAAATACAAATAAGTACTAAAACGGAAAAATAAAGATAGATGAATGGACTAAAATACCCTCGCTTAAATGCTAAAATGCGTCACATTTGAGCACTCATCAATGCTAAATACCTCTTACCAAACTTCCAGATTTTATATAAAGTCTTGGAATACAATTTTATCCTTAAAGATCATGTTGAGCTTGATAAAATAAGAGCTAATATGTTGTATTACATCTTTAAACGAACTCTTATCAATTTTTCAAGCACTATTGTAAGACAAATGGTTAATGTTGGGTTGGAACCAAGAAAATGAAGGAAGTTACCATTCCCACGGATTATAATTGCCTTGATTCAAAGCTTTGTTCAAAGGGATTTTGTGATACTTCTGGATTTCCGGATACGGGTTGGCTAGGCCCACGCCCGAATACCCGAGCATATGAAAAATAAATCGGTAATAATCGAACACAGAGTACAAAATAGATAAAAAATAAATAAATAAATTTCTAAAAGAAAACTAAAATGATAATCTATTAATTGAAACCTCAGAATAAAATTTCATTAAATAATAAATTATTCTGATACAATTAATCCTCCAATAATACAACTTAGGAATCCATACTGTGTGGACCCCTAGAAAATCTCAAACCAAAAATCAATAGTAAATAACTATCTACAACTAGATACTGAATCATCAGAAAACTCCTATATAGACAATCTGGAAGAATGAAGTAGATGATCCCTGTTCAGCACGAACAATCCCTACTCCTGATGAATACCCGAAAAATAATGGTGGGTTAGGCCCACAAACAAGTTCTACTCTACTACAGTCTAAGTAGAGATTCGATATACGTATACATCTTAGTAAATCCAACAATAGCTAGTAGTTCATATATATATATAGATACACACTATATGATGTTCATTGGACTATAGGTTTGTCTCAACCTGAATAGAAGACAACATGCAAATCGTACATAAAGTGGGCATAAATACCTAAACCTACCAGGGCACCCAGATGTCTATTATATCTAGTTATCCATCCTAGGCAATATACGCACCCTAACCATGATCCTGATACTCAAACTCATATCATGACAATATAATCATATATATATATATAATCCAGTAACTATCCTATCCAATAAAAAGTAATCCTCTAACATTAATCCTCTATAAGTAATCCTCTATAAGTCATTCAACTTGTTCAGTTGACTTGACTTGAATATAAGGAGGACATAACATTTTAGTTAATCCATTCCCTTATACAAAAATAGGTAAGACTTAACTTCTTTGGTTAATCCATCCCTAGAATGCCACCATCCCATACCGGTGCATTAAACCACACAATCCAACACATGATGCAATAAATAAAACAGTGCATCAATTAATCCAAAATAATATGATAAAAATCACATATATCATCCTTGCAAATACTTAAGTAAAATAACAACTCTAAGTAGCATGCATTCAATATAACAAATTAACATGCATCTCAAATAGATTGTTTTAACCTCCAGGACGTAATTAAACTATTCAAATCCAATTAATTGATTAAACTAGTTTAATACAAAAATACATCCATTTAAATTGCTAAATAATATTAAGAAATTAAATCATCCATAAAATCCAATAATTGATGAAATAAATAAAATAAGACACAATTAATCCAGAAACAAACATAATAAAAATCAAATAATTAACTGAGTATATTATGCTGCTGATACATGATTAAAGTTATATAACATCCATTTACATTGCTAAAATAATACTAAGCAATTAAATCCTCCTTAATCATTAACAACATACAAATTTAATTAAAATTTCATATTGTTCTAACTTTAGCATATTTGTATAATTTATGCATTCCGGGTATTTAACATGTCCATCGTAGTCATTTAAATCATCCAAATCGACCTACATAGCACTGGAATATCCCAATTTACCAAAACAGAACCTTAAAACTCATTTCTACAAATTCCCAGCAAGGGAGAATGTTCCTTTTTCAATGGAGCATGTTCTGCCCACAATAGAGCCGCCTTCACTTCCAATGGAGCCGTCTCCACTTGGAGTGGAGCTACTTCTACTCTAACTGGAGCCATCTCTACTCCTTCTACCCTCAATCTTCTTCATCTTTAGGGTCCTCTAATCATTCTGATCATCTTCCTTAAGATTCCTAACCTTCTGTTCTAAGTCCCAGATGATCCTAATAAACTTATAAAGTTCATACACATCCTAAACACGAATTAAAACTAAGTTTCATACAATAAATTTCAAGATCAGCAAATAATACGTACAAACCCATATAAACATATATTTTTCGTTTTAATTCAGTCTAAGCATGCATATATGGTTAATTTATTATCTGATTAACCCTTGGAATTAACTAGGCATGTATAGAACACAGACCAAAGGGAAGGAGATAGAAGTAAAACTTGCTTTAAGGGTTTTGAATTAAAACCCAACTTTTCCTTCTCCGGCAAATCCCTCAACGCCAGCAGCCTCTGGTTGCTGTCATCCTCTGCTGAACTGGATAACAACTACAAACAACTTCTATTATTTCCTCCTCAGGTCCGACTTTCCTCCTTTGGCCGCACCTCTCTTTTCCCCTCTCTGTTCTCTTTCTTTCTGTCTCTCTCTGTTTCCTCTCCTTCTCTATATATTAAATTTCACGTAATATAAAATATAGCCTCCCACAGACCTATACTATTGTATTTATACATAACATATAACCCTAATCATAATTTAACCCTAAGTCTACCTTAAGGAAAAAGAAATTAAATAATATAA